CCTTGATTTTGGCCTTTTACGAAGAATAGTATCGGTATTGTTCTTCCAGTACTGATACTTACCGATACTGATGACCTAACATGCCTTGCTTTAGGCACGAAATTACATCCCAAACTCACCCAATCACTCCCCTAAGACTAGCAAACGTTTTCAAAGTCTTATTTGAGGTCTTAGAGGTCAGAAGGTATCATCATGCTTACAAACATCAAATACGAATTATGCCATGGATTTACTTTAGCATGCTTTCATGAGCTAAACATACCAAATATGCACATACAATGACCTACATGTGATATGGTCAAGTTAGAATTGTGTTACCTTGATTCCAAGCTACTGAAAACGCTCTTGAATCACTCAAGAATGAGTTTCTCCTTGCCCCTTGCCTTAAAGCTCTCACCCTTCTCTTGCACTAATTAAGACATAAGAAATGTGTTACTAGCTCATTGAAATGTTTGGAACAAAGTTAAAAATGTTACCACTAAAATCCCACAAAACTTGCTAGAACACAAGGTTCTTTAAACCCCCACTAAAACCCACTCTTGGGAAAACTAAGTCAAATCTTATAAATGGGGGCTTAAATGAAAGCTTGGAAGATAAAGATTGTAAATTTTACTTTAGAATTTCAAATGGATGCTTGAAACTCTTAAAATTCAAAGCTTTGTGTGATGCTTGGAGAGAAAGAAGATGAAGATAAGGTAGAGAAGAAAACAAGAATGTGGTGAAAAAGAGGAGTAATGGTTCAGACGTGATATCATCCCAAATTAAAGGGATTTAACCTTTAGTTTAAAAAATGGGATAATTACTCCCTTGGTCCCTGCACATCTAGGTCCAGATTAAAAACACCCTTTTTAATACTTGTTGGGCTCATCTCAAGCCCAAATCAAATGCTACTTGGGTCAAACTCTTCATAGGCTAAGGGCATTTATTCTAAGGTCCAAATCGAATATACCCGAAACTTCTAATCCGAAATTCGACGTGTTACAACAACTTATTTCTTAGTGAACCATGACATTCTTAGGCGCAACCCATTTTATTAATAAAAATATTAACAATCCAGATCGCAACATGTTTCTTAGTGAATCGTGACATTTTTAGGTGCAACCGTATTTCTTATATATTCATAACATTTTTAACTTTTAACTTATTTTCTTATTGTGAAAAAATTCAATGCCCCATTAGCTTAAACTCTGGTAACATTTTAGACACAATCTAAAATATTAATAATATGCATAACATTTATTGTTTATAACTTATTTTTTTATCGTTTATAACATTTTAAGTGTAACCTATTATGTTACTACATTGATAACTTTTCCAGTTTCACTTTATAACATTGTGTTCCGCTTTTAACTTGTAAGATAAAATTTTCGGTTATATCATTTTAAGTTATTTTAAAAATAATTACAACCTAATATATTACAAATAAATTAACATTTCATGTGCCGCTAAACCTGTTTTGTTAAAGGTTTTTTTTTTAAAAAAAAAAATCAGTTGCGCCGTTTTGAATCTTAAATTAGTCTCTCTCCTTAGAATTCCCCATTTTTTCATGTTAGCTGCACAATTCATATGTGCTTGTACTCTGCTGGATTTCTTAGATTCTTTCTTTTAATGTTCATTTTAATTCGGTTCCATCTTTGGTTTTCAGTATATTCAATCTCTTTACTTTCCCGTAATTTCAACATCAGCTGAACGAGATCACTTCAAATCTTTAAGGAGTATTACTTTTTTTAATCGACAGTTGTTCTATTAGAGAACAAGCTTCAACAAACTTGATCACATCGCGAAATGCCAAAGCTATATATCATTGCTCAATCAACAGGTAAACAGATTTCATCCTAATGCTTTCGTAAATAATCAGTGCATTAATCGTTGTAAAACAAGCCCATCTACATGGCTTAAAATGCATATTTCTTCAGTACTTTTCAATACATTTTGAAAACCTATTTCTAAACATGAATTCCCTCCGTGCGATATCGAATTAGAAAAAGAAGCACACTCATCCTAAATAAATAAATAAAAACCTGTTTAACTTTAGATATGATTAGGTAAGGTAAGCTGAAAAATAAAAACCAAACCAAAAACTCCCACCAGCCAGCCAAATACAAGCATACGATTAGGTAAACAGAAAGGGATATTACCTGTTCTAGGTTTCATATCTCCCTTCCAGTCAAACCCTCTCGTAGTTGCATAATCTTATTTCACCTATCTTCACTGGCTGTCCTAGGAGCATCACCATCATCCGGGCATCTTGATGAGACCCCAGTTGCATTAGTCACGGTTAACGAGTTCTTAGCCATGTATGAATCTTCTTCATTATATTGGAGCCGGCGGGCTCCACCATCTGTATCATAACACCTCACCCGATGAATCATTGCATACCTGCTGCCATGTTTACCATCATCACTGACTTCATATTTACACCCTTTACCACCAGCAGCTCTATCAAGAAATCTTCTACGTTCAATCGTGGGGTCAAAGTAATCATTTGAATTCAATCTCCGAATGGAACGCGCTTCATCATACCTTTGGTCCTGCGTCCTTGCATACGATTTTCGTCCCCTAAAATAGTCTAAACCAGGATTACAATCCTCATACATCCCATAATTTCGTTGCGGCGAGACTTGATTTCGGGGTGGGAAAATGAACTCTCCATGACCTACACCCAATCGCTTTGTCAATGGCAGCCTCACTCTATCCATTCTAGCTTCAGACCTAAAGTCTGGTGACCTATTGCGACGTCTTGAACCCTCATTTCGATCCCTTGATAACCAACCAATCGGAGAGCGACTCCTCGATCTTGATCTAGCTCTCTTGTAAGGTATGGTGTGATGATGTCTCCACCATAGGGGGAAATGCTTCCTCTCCTGTCTAAACAATGTGGCATGCGACTCATGTAGTGTGTGCTGTCATCATGAATATGCCTGAGATACTCATCTCTGATGCCTCTACTATCCCCCTGCGGGTATCTTCTAAACCTACGCCAATCGGGACTAGTATCTCTTACGGTTGGAATCCTTGGATGCATACTGTAAGAATCAACTCTTTCAGTTGGTGATCTTCTCCTAACAGGTGACCTGTAAGAACCCATAAATTGCCTGGTAACACGCTGGCCAGGTCTTGCAATACCAGCAGCTTCCGAAGGTATTTGGTCTTCGCCTGTAAGATATTCTCGGTTCCCAAAAACACATTTTGGTCTGGGGCGCCCAATATTGTCAGGGAAATCATAAATAGGTGGATGCCGCCGCTCAGAATCCCAATAATTAGCTGAAGGACTGAAAATGTGATCACCTCTGGGGCTTCTTCCACGTATATGTGAAAAAGATCTATCACTCCCTGCAGATTTCTCGGAACCAGCGCCTCTTCCAGCTCGAGGATACGAACAATTGAAACTGTCAAATCTGAAATATTAAAACAACCAGAATCATTGAAGTTTGAAATGTACATCAAAGAGAAGAGACAGTTGTGTCCAAAAATTTCACCTGCTTCCTGAACATCAGAGGAAAATGATCCTTCAACACATGAAAGCAATTCCCTTTTTGATACCTTGGATAAATCAACTCGAAGATCATAATTAGACCCATCCAAGCAATCAATTTTCATAGTTTCACCATCAGATACTTTCACAGTTCTAATCTTCAAGCTCACTGAATTTTTCCTCAAAGCCTCCCCTGATTCACAACTTTTAAAATTCGCAGTTAGTTCCATATTTGATCCTCGTTCTACCTTTAGTTCCTGCTCCCCACTCTCAGCTTCCAAGCCAAATGATCTTTCTTCCTCAAATTCAGCGTCATAATCCACATGTTTAGCTTCCTCCCAATACTGAACATCTGATTCCCTCAATTCCCCGTCCTCAAATTGTGAATCATAACCAGAACATCCTTCAGATCCTGGTTTCTCTGTACTCAGGTCATCAGGCCCAACAGGAATGGTTCTCAAATCTGAAGTCGTCCTACTACCCCCAACATCAGATGAAACCACTGCGATTGTAGTGTCATTTTCTATAACTTGAGATTCCTTAGACTGCAAATGTGAATCATAACCATAGCATCCTTCAGATCCCTGTTTCTCTGTACTCAAATCATCAGTCCCAACAAGCATTATTCTAGAGTCTGAAGTCAACCTATTACCTCCATCAACATCAGGTGAAACCACTTCTCTCATAGCATCATGTTTTGTATCTTGAGGTTCATTACTCTGCAAGAGTAAATCATAAACAGAGCATCCTTCAGATTCCTGTTTCTCGGTACCAAATCATCAGTCCCAACAGCCATCGTTCTCATGTCTGAAGTTAACCTATTACCCCCATCAACATCAGAAGAAACCACTTCTTTCTTAGTATCAGGTATCATATCTTGACGTTCATTAGTCTGCAAGTGTGAATCATAACCAGAGCATGCTTCAGATTCATGTTTCTCTGTACTCAACTCATCAGTCCCAACAGGAATGGTTCTCTCGTCTGAAGTCATCCTATTACCCCCATCATCAGATGAAACTATTTTGTTTGTAGTATCATCTTTTGTACCTTGAGGTTCCTCAGTCTGCAAGTGTAAATCATAATCAGGACATCCTTCACATTCCTGTTTCTCTGTACTCGAGTCATAACTACCGGCAGTCATGGTTCTCAAGTCTGAAGTCATCATATTAACCCCATCAACATCAGATGAAACCACTTCGTTTGTAGAAACATTTTTTATATCTTGATGTTTCTTAGTCTGCAAGTGGGAATCATAACCAGAGCATCCTTCACACTCCTGTTTCTCTTCACTCAAATCATCGGTCCCAACAGGGAAGGTTCCCAAGTCTGAAGCCGTCCTATTATCTCCATCGGCATCTAATGAAACCATTTTATCTGTATTATCATCTTTTATATCTCGAGGTTCCTGAATCTGCAAGTGTGACTGTGAATCATAACCAGAGCATCCTTCAGATTCCTGTTTCTCTGTACTCAAGTCGTCAGTCTCAACAGGCATGGTTCTCATGTCTGAAGTCATCCTATTACCCCCATCGACATCAGATGAAATCTCTTCATTCAAAGTGTCATTTTTTATATCTTGAGGTTTTGTAATCTGCAACTCTTCACTTCTCCCAGAAATATTAGCAAAAGAATCCTTTCGAGTATCAACAGTCCCTCCATCACAAAGCCAAGCATCCACTGGAACATTTAAATCCCAGTGTGAACTAATATCTGCAAAGGAACAAGCCTTTCTGGTTCTGTATCCTTGTCACTAGGAAATTCATGCAAAACAGCAAAGGAATTGCCTTGGAAAGATGAACCCTGAGACCTACTTTCATTTACCGAATCTTTTGGAAAGCTACATGCCGCTTCCAATGATGCGGTAGTTTCTTCCAAATGAGTTGAAGAAGCTGAAGACTGCATCCTCTCCACTGTTAGTTCTTCTACTAATGGATTTCCCTCATATTCAGTAACATCATTGCAGATGCTATCACTGCAAGCAGCAGCTGCAAGTATTTCAATCCCTGAGAAATCTTCGACACCATTTATTACCTCTGAAATCTTCTTATCACCAACACTAGCAATATATGACTTGGCAGAACAATCCGGTTTAATGAGTTGTGTGGTGTTTGAACCAAAATTCTGATTTGAAGCAGGTTTAAAATCTACATGCTGTTCAGAGGCTTCAAGGTGCAAATAAGGAGTCAATGGAGGTGGTGGTGACGGATATCGGAACGCAAATCTCCTTTTCTTGATTGGAACATTCTTTACTCTTTCACAAAAGCGCCTTCCTAGAACATCCACCCCAACCTGCTAATAATAAAACGGAGAATTAGTTCAAACAAACGAGAGAACCCAGACTGTAGTTTATAAGTACAAAAGAATGAAATGTAACCTTCTCTGACTCTGAAACCGTAAAATGCTCCACTGTCCTGGCATTTTTATCAGCTAGCACCATTCCCGGCATCAAGATTTTAGCAACCGGTCTCCTGGTACGTCTCATCACACTCCTTTTCCTTTTTGAAAGTATCTTCCAAGTCAGATCAGGATCCATAGGACTTGTGAGGTCCAGGCCTACTGTGCTCATCATGCCTGAAGATGCAAACCCTATCCCAGCAACTAATGGTCTACCACAACAAATCTTGCAGGATGCAGTGGTTTTTTTCTTAATACTTGGCACCAAAGTAGAAAAGAAACGCCGGGTACAAATACAAATATGGCTCTGAACAATTAAACCAAAGCTCCAATAAAATATGAATCTAATGTTGTATGTGAATAAAATAAATTTCAACTGATGAAGACTATTTTTTATGAAGTTTTTTGGTTTTAAAGTGCTTTATGTCAGGCAAACTACAAGGCCAAGGAATTTACAGTTAATTTGGTTCCTCCAATCTTGTCAGATATTTAACAATACAGAGATCACTATAAGAGTCTTCAACAGGTTAAGTGTCTATCCTGCCTGCATAACAATTTCAAAAAACAAGATCAGCCATATATACAAAAAAAAAACTGAACAAAAAAGATCAAACTTGTTCCATTTAAGGATCCAATCCACTTAATAAAAGAAAATTTTATCATCGCCTACTGAGCCCAAAGCTGAAAATAAGATTATCAGCATATGCCTCCAAATGTCATTTAATTTGAGGCAGATCACGATGACAAGTTTTGATATCCAGAAAAATTTTCCTAAGGATAAAACTAGTCAAAATTCGGATCTCTTTCGAATTTTTCGCCTGATTATTAATTCGCTTTACCATTATTCTTGCTTTTAGTTTCAGGTTTGATTTACCCTCAACAACTCAAAATGGAAAAAAATTGAGGAATCTATCGGAAGTAAGAAGCCAAAGAAATCAAAAGCAAACGAAATCGGAAATACAAAACAAGAAGGAAAGCAAAGAACCTCAAAATCGGGCAAGAGGATTTCTAATGGTTTGGAGTATATTGACCGATCTGAACCGTCAGCAAGTACCGGTTGAGGCGGATAAGGATATATGTCAGTCTCGGGCCGATCCAGCGGTGGGATTCCGAGATCGGAATAAGGAAACTTGAAAGATTCCAGTCTCGCTTCTTTCAGAATTGTTTGTAGGAAATATACACCAAAAGAAAGCAAAAGGAGAGGCGGAGCTTCAATTCCGTGTAAACATAAGGCCAATCGGAGGCCGGACAGAGGCTTTAAGGGTGACTCCGGGTGGCGCCAAGGCTGTTTTGTCTTGGTGTAGGAAGAGAGAAGAGAAGAAGAAAAAGAAGAGAGAGAAAAAGAAGAATGAGAAAAAAAAAGGTGAACTTAAAGGATCCGTGCCTGCCCTACGGGTCTCTTTTCCGGTTTCCGATTAACCCGATTTCTTTATTCGGAGTAGCCCAGTGGAGGAAATCAGATCTGGCGCGGCTCTTCCTACTCAGGCCCACCATTTTTCTTTTTATAGTATGTACATGCTCCATATTTTAGGTAAACTACTCAACTTTAAGATTTGTATCGAATTTTAAATTATTAATTTTAATGTAAATATTGGACTGTTAACCTTCCAACAGTGGGATAGTGCGGTAGTTTAATAATAGCATAGAAATCAAAAGTACATTTCATCCTTTTCCCATTAAAATTATAATTTCTGACCATTTTTAGTCATCTTCAAAGACCAATAATTTCAATTCATTCATGATTATATTTTTATTTAAAACTAATAAATAATCTTAGTATAATTTAAAACAAAGTAATACTAATATAATTTGCTAATCATTTAAAATGACTAAATAACACCATTTTTCTTGAAAAGTAACATAAATATAATTTCAAAAAATATTATGTGAACCATATACATTGCTCTTGACTTCATTTAGTGTTATTAATGAAATTGTTTTAGTCCTGTGTACAATCTGATCTAATGTATATCTTCTAGCTTGATTGTGAAAACAAGCTCCACTACATCTGCAATCGTAACGAGACAAGCTTCGACCACATCGCGAAATGCCAACGTTTATAACATTGTTCAATCAACATGTAACTAACTATATCTCATCCCTATGCCAATTAAAATAAAAATGTGCATTGATATTTTGCATAATACTCTCCATCTACATGAATTCCTTTGCTTTGTGCATAACGAAACTAGAAAACGAAGCATAATTTCAGCTATGTGGAAAGAGAGTAAATATGTAAAAAAACAGATTTCTTTGCTAAAACTAAAACTGAAACAAATGGAACAAAATCCTCCCACCAGCCAGCCAAATACAAGCTTATGATCAGGTAAAGAGAGAGCTATTACCTCTTCCAGTTCTCATGTCACCCTTCTCTAGCCAAACCCTCTCACGGTTGCATTACAGCAAGTTCACCTATCTTCACCCGCCTTACTAGGTGCATCAGCATCATCGTGGTGCCTAGATGAGACCCCAGTGGAATTAGTCATGGTTAAAGAGTTCTTAGCCATGCATGAATCTTCTTTGTTATACCGAAACCGACGGCCTCCACTGTCTGTATCATAACACCTCGACCGATGAATCATTGCATATCTGCTGCTGCTATGTTTACCATCATCATTGACTTCATATTTACACCCTTTACCACCAGCAGCCCTATCAGGAAATCTTCGTGGTCGAATCATGGGATTGAAGTAAGCATCTGAATTCAATCTACGAATGGGACGCGCTTGATCAAACCTTTGGTCCTGCCGACTCATCCTCACGTGTGATTTCCGTCCCCTAAAATGGTCTAACCCAGGATTACGCTCCTCAAACATCCGGAATTTCGCTGTGGGGAAACACGACTCCGAGGTGGCAATATGAACTCCCCATAACCAGAAGCAAATCGTCTAGTAAAAGGCAACCTCACTCTATCCATTCCAGCATCAGACATAAAATCTGGTGACTTGTTACGAAGTCTTGAATCCTCATTTCGATCCCTTTGAACCAACCAATCAATGGGAGATGGGCTCCTTGATCTTGATCGAGCTCTCTTGTAAGGTACAGCATGCTGAGGTCTTCCACCATGAGGAGAAATGCTTCTTTCTCTCCTGTCTAAATGATGGGCATGCGGCTCATGTATTGTGTGCTGTCATCAGGAATAAGCCGGAGATAATCATCTCTGATGCCTCTACTAATCCCTTGAGGAAATCTTCTAAACCAATTCCGATCAGGACTAGTATCCTTTACAGTTGGCATCCTTGGACGCATATTGTAAGAATCATTCTTTCAATTGGTGATCTCCTTCTAAGGAGTGGTCTGTAAGAGCCCATAAATTGCCTGGTAATGCGGTGGTCAGGTCTTGCAACACCAGCAGCAGCATCCGAAGGTGCTTGGTCTGTGCCCATGGGATATTCTCGATTCCCCAAAACACTTTTTAATCTGGGGCGCCCAAAATTGTAAGGGCCATGATAAATATATGGATGCTCCCGCTTAGAAGAATCCCAACAATTAGCTGAGGGATTGAAAAGGCGAGCACCTTCTGGTCTTCTGCCATGGATATGCGAAGATCTATCACTCCCCATGAATTTATCAGAACCAGAACCTCTTTCAGCTCGAATATATGAACCATTAAAATTGTCCGGCCTGAATATTTGAATAAACAGAAATCAATCAAAACTAGAAATGTACATGAAAAAAAATAGAGAATTAAGTCCAAAAGTTTTACCTGCTTTTTAGAACATCAGAGGATAATGATCCTTCAACACAAGAAAACATTTCCTTTTTTGATTCCTTAGACAAATTTACTCTAAGATCATAATTAGACCTATCCGAGCAATCAAATTTCATAGTTTCACCATCAGACATTTCCACATTTCTAATCTTCAAGCTAACTGAATTTTTCTCCAAAACCTCTCCCGTTTCAGAACACTTAGACCTCTCAGCCAGTTCCGGATTTGATCCTCTTTCTACCTTTAGTTCCTGCTCATAAATGTCGGCTTCCAAGCCAAATGATCTTTCTTCCTCACATTCAGTGTCATAATCCACCTGTTCAGCTTCCTCCCAACATTGATCATCTGATTCCCTCAACTCTCCATCCTCAAATTGAGAATCATAATCAGAGCATCCTTCAGTTTCATGTTTCTCCGTATTGAAGTCATCAGTCCCAACAGGAATGGTTCTCAAGTCTGAAGTCATCCTATTAACCCCATCAACGTCAGATGAAACCACTCCGTTTGTAGTGTCACTTTTCATATCTTGAGGTTCCTTAGTCCGCAAGCATGAATCATGATCAAAGCATCCTTCAGAATCATGTTTCTCTGTAACAAAGTCATCAGTCCCAACAGGCATGATTCTGGAGTCTGAAGTCATCCTATTGCCCCCATCAACATCAGATGAAACCACTTTGTTTGTAGTGTTATTTCTCATATCTTGAGGCTCCGTGGTCTGCAAGCATGAATCATAGCCAGAGCATCCTTCAGATTCCTGTTTATCTGTAATGCAGTCATCAGTCCCAACAGGCATGATTCTAGAGTCAGAAATCACTCTATTACCCACATCAACATCAGATGAAACCACTTCGATTGTAGTGTCATTTTTCATATCTTGAGGTTCCTTAGTCTGCAAATCATAGCCAGAGCATCCTTCAGATTCCTGTTTCTCTGTACTCAAATCATAAGTCCCAACAGGCATGATTCTAGAGTCTGAAGTCACCCTATTACCTCCATCAACATCAGAGGAAACCACTTCTTTTGTAGCATAATTTTTTATATATTCTGAATCATAACCAGATTCCTGTTCCTCTGCACTCAAATCATTAGTCCAAACAGGCATGCTTCTCAATTCTGAAGTCATCCTATTACCCCCATCATTCTCAGATGAAACAACTCCATTTGTAGTATCATCTTTTATATCTTGTGAACCATAACCAGATTCCTGTTTCTCTGTACCCAAGTCAGCAGTCCCAGCAGCAATGCTTCTCAAGTCTGAAGTCATCCTGTTACCTCCATCTACATCAGATGAAACCACTTCGTTTGTAGCATCATTTTTTATATCTTGAGATTCCATAGTTTGCAACTCTTCACTTCTCATAGAAATATCATCAACAGAATCCTTTTGAGAATCGACATGCCCTCCATCACAAGGCCAAGCATCCATTGGAACATTTAAATCCCAAAGTAATCTATCATCTGGCAAGGGAATGAATCTTTCTGGTCTTGTGTTCTTGTCAGTAGGAATTTCATGCAAAACAGCAGAGGAGTTGTCTTGGAAAGATGAACTCTCAGACTTACTTTCATTTAAAGAAAGGTCCGTTTCCTTGCCACTAGGAAATTCACACAAGGGGGACTTTTCTGGTGCTGTATCCTTGTCACTAGGAACATCATGCAAAAAAGCCAAGAATTGTCTTGGAAAGTTGAACCCTCAGACTTACTTTCATTTGTTGAAACTTTTGGAAAGCAGCACGCGGTCTCCAGTGATGCAGTAGTTTCTTCCAAATGAATTGAAGAAACAGAAGACTGAATTCTCTCCTGTGTTGATTCTTCTACTACTGGATTCCCCTCGTATCCAGTAACATCATTACAGATGCTATCACCGCAAGCAGCAGCCGCAAGTATTTCAATCCCTGACAGATCCTCGACACCATTTATTACCTTTGAAATCTTCTCATCATTAATATTAGGAGCATATGACTTGGCAGAACAATCAGAATTCTGATCTGTGCTTGAACCACAATTCTGATCTGGAGTAGCTTGAAAATCTACATGCTTTTCAGAGGCTTCCAGGCGGGAATAAGGGGTCATTGGTTTTGGCGGTGATGGAGACCTGAACATAAACCTCCTTTTCTTAATTGGAACATTCTCCACTTTATCACAAAAGTGCCGTCCTAGAACATCCACACCAAGCTGTTAATAGAAAAAATGGAGAATTAGATGAAACAAGTGAGATATCCCTGAGGGTAGTTTTATAAGTACAAATGAATGTAATCTTACCTTCTCTGACTCTGACATTGTAACATTCTCCATTTTTCCGGCATTTTTGTTGGCTAGCCCCAATCCTATTGTCTTGCTTATAGCAACTGAGTTCCTGGTTCGCCTTGTCCCAATTCTATTCCTCTTTGAAACTGTCTTCCAAGTCAAGTCAGTATTCACAAAGCTTCTGTGTTCCAGGTCTACTGTGCTCATCATGCCTGAAGATACAGATCCTATCCCATCAATTAATGGTCTACCACAACAAATCTTGCAGGATGCCGTGGCTTCTTGCTTGCTACTTGACACCAGAGTAGAAGAGAAACTTCCGGTGCAAGTACAAATATGTCTCTGGAAACAATTCAAGCAAAGATCCAATAAATAAGCATCTATATAGAACTGAATGTATACATACTGCCACATATATAAATATTGTCAACTGACTACGACTATTTTTCATGAAATTTTTAGTTTATGTCAATCAAACCAAGGCCAAGTAACTTACAGTTACTTTGGTTCCTCCAATCTTGTCAGATATTTAACAATACAGAGATCACTATAAAGCTCAATTTTCAACAGGAGAAATGTCTGTCCTTCCTGCATAAAAACACCAAATAAAACGATCAGCCATATGTATACAAATAAAAACTGAACAGAAGATACAAAAAAAGAAGCTTAAGCATCCAATCCATTTATAAAAGAGATTTATCATCAAATATTCATCCCCAGAGCTGATAAAGAGACTATCAGCATATGCCTTCAAATGCCATTTACTTGAGGCAGATCATGGTGACAAGTCTGATGTCCAGGAAAATTCCCTTCAATTGAGAATGTAATATTGGACAAATTCTTGGAATCAGTGTTCTTCGCATACAACAAAATATATACAGTAAAAGTTTCATCGATCATCATCAAAGTATACAGTTTTGACAAACTGTGTTCTTTCTATGCATTATTTCTGCATACTAAATTCGGGTAATAATAGGAAGTAAGGTTGTTTCAATCTATTCCCAACAAAATTGACTTGGCATCCTAGCTACTTTTTGTCAAACTATGTGACTGGAAGCTTTACCAAGAGCCAAAAAACATCAGAAAAGATCTCCATGTCTAGTTTGAAGGACAAAAATTATTCTTCCCTTAAACCTCTTCTCTGCAGCTAAGGTGTTTTGAATTTCACAAACAAGCACATGAGGCTCCTTAAATTAGAAAAAGTAACCCAAGATCCATAGATCCAAATCAGATAAACAATAAAAACACCAAATTTTTCATCAGAAGATAAACACATCAGCCTATTGACACATCAAAAATAAACAAACAGTTCATCTAACAAAAAATATATACCCTAAAATTTCTATCGAATCAGCCTATCGACAAGTCATAATAGCTCCCAGAACAGTGTTTCAAGTCTTGGTTTAAGCAGCAGCTAGATTGATTTCGATAGAGTGAACTAAAGTAGACAAATAGCCTAAAATCGTCGCAGATGTCTACTTATGCAAGAAAAACTCCTTCGACAAAACCTCTGCAGCTATCGTTGCCAAGAGCCTCATTGACGAAAATTCCCCAGAAGAAATTTTTAATCAATTTGATGCCGAATGTTGACATAGAAGAATCCGAAATTGAAAACCCCACCTCTTCAACAAGTTTCTTCAAAGAAAAAGTAAAAATCCCAAATCTGTTCATCCTCTGATTAAGATTCTTTGACGCTTGAACAACGGCAAATCCTATCTTGGAATAAAAGGGTAAAAAACAACCACAAACAAAGGGTAGGAATCCAAAATCTAAGGTTTCTTAGTACATGTCTTCCATTTATTTTAATAAATAAAACCAAATAAATAAATAAAAATCACCTCATCCAATCGGTGATATGTCGAAAATTCCTTACCCAGATTTCAAATAAAAACATTCATCATCTCCAACGAAAAACAAATTCACCCTTCAAAAAACAACCTCCTCCGTAGAGTTTAGATCTCTAAATCAAATACATAACCGAAAACCAACTATCCGGGACTTTCAAAACGCTGATTTGGATCTTCTCATCGCCGATTAATAAAATCTTGTTCGTGTTTCTGGTGTTTGGGAGGCGTGAAAGAGTTTCCCTGATTGGATCAACACTAGGAAAAATATACGGACCTTCTAATCGCCGATTTTGCCCTAATTCAAAGTCTCAGTTGCGAGGAAAGGAATTTTGGAAAGGAATATATAGTAAAATAAATAAAAATAAAATAATAATTCTGGAACTCTCGATTTCGGTGCTTCCACAACAAAGCCAAAGAGCCCTCCCATAAGTCAAATAGTGACCAATCAATGGCGCAATTTATTGACTCGGCGTAAAAATGTCAATATTTTATTAAATTTTAGGATAATATCATATTTGGTATATATACTTTGACAAAATATCCAATCTGATACATATACTTTTACAATGTCCAATTTGGTGTCTGTCGTTTAAAAACTCTTCAATATGGTAACTATACTTCGATAAAAAATGATCAATGCAATGCATATACTTTTATAAGATTCAATGTGGTATCTATAATTTTTTAAGATGTCTACTATTATGCGTAAACTATAGTTTTGTATTATTATGATTAATAGATTAACAGTGTCAGTAAGTGTTGTACATGAACTATCATTTTGTATGTTATTTTGGTATATGGGTTAACACTATTAAAATGTTTTAAATCAATTAATAAAAAATTGTATGTATTATATTAATACAAATAATGATAGTTTAAGTATCAAATTGAAGATTTTATTAAAGTACACATTAAGTATTTTAAAAGATGTATGACATCAAACATTTTTATCAAAGTATATATATCAAATGTGATATTATCCCTTACTTTTGATAAACTTGGTACAATTATGAGTTTCATCCCTTTACTTCAGAAAAATGAGAATTTAGTCCACCTGGATAATATTGTTAAAGCTTAATGTTAATTTGATGATCTAAAAAATCAAATGTTTACATGGAAGCATAAATCAACAGTTTAACAATTTATATTTGATAAAAAAAAAGTTCAAGTTTATGTATCTAGCAATAAATGAAAATGTGGATACCCAGTAGCAGAGCCACAAATGTGACCACATTAAAATTTTATTTATATCAATCTTATTTAAAAGTTTTACATTTTTAATATATATATATGTTCACCCTGAAAAATATTTTTGGTTCCGTAAATGTTGATGCCTTGCTTCTCTCGCATTGTGCTATTCTGTTATTTTGATTTGGGTTCCATATTCTTTACTTTTGTCCTAGTGAAGGAACCCACCAACCAAAGTAAAGAATATATGAATATGTCTAAGTATATGTAATATATAATTTGTAATATAATAAAATTCATGATTAAATAATTCATATAGCATTAATTGGGTTTGACAATTGACAAAAAAAATCAAATAATTTATATTTTAACAAATATATAATTAAAAGTATTTTTTTTAACTTGAGATAGTAACTTAGCTATTTATTTTTTAAAAAAAATTACTCACATTTTCACTTATGCCTATTTCTTTCATTCATAAGAATGCAGATATTTATATAATCTATAATCTATAAAAGTAGAGGAAACGAAATCGA